TTTGAATTTAATTCATTACCTAGCAGAAAATATTCGTGCATAGTCGTGAGGATAGCCGCAACATATGCTCATCGCTAGGCTGGAACTAACGCTCACACAAACATAAACATTATATTAAATACAGCTGTAGAAATGTCTTCATTAAAAAAATATTTTGATTAGGACTTACCCACATCAAAAATAATATCTTATATGACAGTAGCTATTTATTTTGCAATGATTTCCATTAATCCATTATTTCACACACGCACACACACAAAACAAAAACAACAAACAAAGCTGGTAGGGGCATTTCCTTATAGGATTTAGCTATAATTCAATTTAATGCACACAGGAAAGAAAGAAAGCAGAAAATGGCACTTTCATCATTTAAAAATATTTTCACAATACTTGCGACGGTTTGCCGCAATTTTATTTTTCTGCACAAACAAAAACAACAAACTTAAAGAAAAAAAAACACACACACACAAACACAAGGTAATTTTCACTTCGTGTTTTTAAATTGCACAGATAGCTTAGACGAGTTCTTTACATAATTTAAATAGTTTTCACACACTAATAATCAATTGAATCAAATTTCTGCAGTTACAATATAATTAAATGACAATCACACCACTCACTCCATTTTGAGTAATAAGTGTGACCAGAGCATAGGGAAGAGAGCGTTGCCAGAAAACTGTCGATCGTGCATAAATATCGATGTTTGCCAAAATACTAACAACTTCACACATCTAAATTATCGATGGCGCCAAGCTCTAAAAAATACTGCTGCATAAATTTAAAACAAAGTGAAATATGGAAGAGCATAAATAATAAATCAAATAGATCAATCCAGCTGCTGCCTGCTGATAATGTGACGAGTAGAAAAATACTTGAATTGTTGTTGATGAACCACTCATTCCATTGATGTTGTTCTCGTTTTAACCGTATGCTTCTCTGCTTTTAGTGACCAGCTTCGTTGTATCGGCGCTTGTCAGCCATGAGAATAAATTGGATATGGTGCACGTGCAGAATTCGACGCTCGCTGGAGGCGTTGCCGTTGGCACCGTTTGCAATCTGCTTCTCGGAGCTCATGGTGCTGTCTTAATTGGCATTATCGCCGGCACGATTTCGGTGCTCGGCTATCGCTATTTAACCGTAAGTTGAACAACCGTAAAGACGAGTCGGGCCACTGCATGTAATCCATGCAAATACGAGGCGTTATTCTAATTGGAGTTTGAGTTGGAGTTGGAGTACTGCACTGGAAGTGGGAGCGAGAATCCGAGTTGGAGTTTGAGGTGGACTAGCAGACCCGGTTACACGCTATGTGCTTCCACTCTTGTGCTCTGGTCCATCGTCTGTTGCGTTTTAATTAGCGCGCCTAGTCGAAAAATGTGACGCTAATGAGTAAAGTTTGTTGCCCGGCGGCCGCTGCTGATGCACGTACAAACTCTACTCCCTAACCATATATCTTTCTATCGCCGTCTCTCTCTCTCTCTCGCTCACGCTGCGTCCGTGTGTGTGTGTATATAAATGTACACCTTTCTAAATGACCCAACTGTCGGGGCCTCTGTCCAGTTGCATTTTGCACTTTAAAAACGTTTAATTACGTGCCAAAAAAGGAAAAATAAGGTTCATACCCTTTCAACTTTTACATGCGAGGCCAAAGAACTTTCTGTTTAGGAATGTATGTGAATTTATGATTCAGGAGTGAGCGGCTTAATGATATACCCTAGCTTTAACTGAGCAGGCAGTCTTATAGGAAATACCCCAATAAGAATTACTCCATTCCCTGCTTAAATAGTTTCTATTAAGGCAAATGTTTCCCATTTATCTTAAAGCTTTACTTGCTCATAACTCCTTGTTTAATACCCTGTAATTTGCAGCCCTGGCTGACAAACAATCTGCGCTTGCACGACACCTGCGGCGTACACAATCTGCACGGCATGCCAGCGCTCATCTCGGCCATTGCGTCGGCTATCTATGCCTCGTTGGTCACTGTGGATAGCTATCAATCGGAGCTGCAGGATATATTCCCCGCTATGGTGGGCAACAATGGCACAACAACCAAAATTATGGGCGTAAGTGGGCGTGGCAACAGCTGCAATTAAACAACAGACTTAAATGCTATTATTCCATCCAAACAGGGACTCGGCCGCAATGCCAGCTCACAGGCAGGCTATCAACTGTTTGGCATTGCCTTAACTCTGATTATAGCCATTGGTGGCGGCATTTTGACAGGTGTGTTAACTGATCAACCAACTATATGCCCATACATACTAACTATATGTACTGTTATGTTTAGGTGCTGCCTTGAAGTATGCCAGTTTTCGCAATCTGCAAAAAGACGAACAGCATCAGGACGAACAGTATTGGGAGGTGCCCGCCTTGGAGTCGAAGGAGGAGTAAAATTCTCTGCCTTTTGCCATTTGATCAAAGTTTCGAATCTGCTTTAATATTTTTTTGAAATATTATCTTTCTTGATTTTATAATTTCTACATTATATATATATATATACATACTTGACAAATTTGTTGTCTGCATTCAAAAAATTGCCATGGCATTTTGTTTTGATTATTTTTTTTTATATATATTTTTAATTCAATTATTTGCTTAACTTGCAGTCAACATTTGTACAGCTTGTTGTGCTGCTTGTTTCGTTTAATTTTTGTAGACATTTTGTCGTATTCAATTAAAAAGTTGCAAAAATTTACACATTTAATTAGCGCAGCGCACGACGCAAAAAAAAAAAATGTAGAAAAAACAAAAATCTGCTTAAAATCCGAGTGAAATGTATTAGCCATGAAAATATTGTTTAATTGTGACAACTTTAACTCTCTACAACTCTGCGTATAACACTACTATTTCTATCTCTTTCTTATACCCCACTCTCTCTTTCTCTTTCTCTCTGTTTCTCTTACTGCCCTGCTCTTATTGCAATTGTTATTTTTGTGAATACGTTTTTTGAATGCTGCTCGAAAATTTTAATGGAATTAAAATCATGCACACACACATACACACACTATCTCTCTCTCCCTCTCTTTGGCACACACACTTTTGTAGGAAAAGTTTAAATATGCCCCATGACGAACTTTTGGCTGGCGCCGATTCAGTCGCCAACTTTAATTGGCGCCCATTTCTGTTGCGCAACTGGAATGCAATTGTCCCAGCCAACAATCTCTATGTAAGAGGCGTGCTGCACTGACACACACACACACACACACAAAAACATATATATATATATGTATGTACATCTACTACCACTAGCCAGCTAATTAAGTGGCCCAAGACAAAGTGTCAGCTAATTAGCTGACTTGCTTCTTGGTTCCGACTAGCTTAGCCGGCGATTAGCGCACCTGCTGAATAAAAACAAAAGCAAACCCAATAATGTCTTTTAAATTTAAACCCTGGCACTGGCACTGGCCTAGCCCTGCCCCGCCCACCCACACTTCCTCGGGCTGCTCGTCTTGCGTTACGTTAAGTGGACGGCAAAACTTCTTAGCCGGATTTGTGCAGCCAAAGCGAACGAAAGGGCGGCCAAGGCACGAGTGGATCAAAATCATATTGGTGGATAGTTGGATAAAGTGGACAAGGAAAGGATTTGTGCTGCAGTTTGGCTACAAAGATAGTTACCGGCATATAAAAAGCACGGTTAAGTTAGTTAGGTGGATATATGTGAATAATAAAGGGCTTTTATAATTTGGTTAGGAGATGTGTAAACGAGAGCCCATATAAGTATGCTATATATTTTCTTAAGTGCTTAAACTCTGAGGTAATATAATATCAATTAAAATTTGTTTTATTTTTTTTTTAATATAATATAGTTATTCAAAGAAGTGTAACTATCACAGATAAAATTTAAGAGAATATTTTATGTATTTTAGGGCTCGGTTCAATAGTTCTTGAAGTTAAAAGTGGTTTGTTTAGCCTCTTTTAGCTCTAATGTGGAAGTAGAATATGTCTCATCAGGCTATTTGGGTAAGAATCTAATCTCTAATACCAAGAATATAATTTATCCAATTCAATATAATAAATATTAAAATAGTTACAACATAACTTATTTAACTTAAATTCTTGTTCATTTCGATAAGTTATGCCTATAGCTTCTCTAATTATACAGACAGATTGTCCTATGTGTTATCTCTCTATGATATTACATGCTCTATAAGGCATTCAAGCTGCCTGAAACCTAAAAAACCTGTAGTTAAATGCTTAAAAGCAGACATAATAGAATGTCACATACACCCACACAAACACACACACACATACACAGGCACACTCACACGCATACCCTCTTACCCACACACTTAAACACACGTGTAAGTTGACTATGAGCAAAAATATTTAGAGAGATGAAAGGACGACAAAAGCGTGCAGTCAAATAAGTGGCCAAGGATGCGAGCGATGTCTGTCAGAGCCGAAGGAGATGTGGAAGAGGAGAAGGGAGAGTGAGAGTGAGAGGGAGGGAAACGGGAGTAAGAGAAACTGGGCAGTGCAATTTGGCAAAGTATTCCCCGGTGCGCTGTTTGACTATTTGGCCAGGCGAGGCGATGGCTCAGACGTCTGTGTACTTGTCATCCTGTGGGTGTGTGCGTATGTGAGTGAGTATTGCTGTGTGTGTGTGTGTGTGTGTCATGCTGTCTAAGTGCTGTTTTATTGCATGTGGTTGGACGTTGGGTCGCCTGCTTGTGCACCAGACAGATGGACAGTCACACGTCTATAATAATAATTAACAGCATGAAAGGCGACGTCGCTCAGCGAGTCAAGGCTGAGACCGAAGCAGTGGCAAAGGCAGAGCCAGCAACAATAGCAGCGGCAGCGGCAGCGGCAGCGACTGAAGCTGGGGTGTAGGGGTGCGGCAACCTTTTGGCGGCTGCTGTCTGCTGTGCTCCACGAAGTATGAAACATATTTTATGCAAGTGACTATGAAACGACAGTCATAAAGACAGCAGCAGCAGCAGCAGCAGGAGTAGTAGTGGTAAACGCCGCAATAATAGCAGCAGCAACAGAAGTAGCAGCAACAGCAGCAGCAGCAACAGCAACAGCAGCAGCAGCAACAGTAACAGCAGCAGCAGCAACAGCAACAGCAGCAGCAGCAACAGCAGCAACAGCAGCAGCAGCAACAGCAGCAGCAACAGCAACAGCAACAGCAACAGCAACAGCAGCAGCAGCAACAGCAGCAGCAACAGTAGCAGTAGCAGCAGCAACAGTAGCAGCAGCAGCCACATCAGCATTAGTAGCAACAGCAACAGTAGCAGCAATAGCAGCAGCAGCAACAGCAGGAACAACAGTAGCAGCAACAGGAACAGCAGCAGCAGCAGCAGCAACAGCAGCAGCAGCAACAGCAGCAGCAGCAGCAGCAACAACAACAGCAGGAACAGCAACAGCAGCAGCAGCAGCATCAATAGCAGCAGCAACATCACCTTTACCAGCAACATCAACAATATGAGCAACAGCAATAACAACAGACATCGAAGTAAAAACAACAACAGCAGCGACAACAACAGCAACAACTGCAATTAAGGCAACTTTAAACAGCGCTGACAACTCTGACGACATTGACTTTGCCTTTGTCTACGGCAACAAATTGCTGTCTACACATAGTTGTTGCCATTTTACTGTCATTGTTGCTGTTGCTGTTGTTGTTGTTGTTGCAGCTGTTGCTGCTGCTGGAATGTTATAGCTGAAGCAGCTGGGGATTTGTTGCAGTTGCTGCTGCCGTCGCAGGAAGCACAAAGTCGAAGCGGAAACTTGTACAGCATTTTGCAACAGTAATTTTTTGGGTGTTGTTTCCGGCGGCGTTGACATTTTCCGTTTTTGTTAACGGTCAGGCGGGCCGGCCTTTGTCCACTAACCGCCCACCCAACCTGCACTCCATATGGACTCGCCAAATGTCTTATCGAGCAGGAGCAGCAGCAATAGCAGCAGCAATAGCAACAGCAGCAGCAGTTAGTCTCTCTAACAGTTAGTCTCTGTGCTCTGTGCTCTGCACGTGGCCCTGGGCGAACCCTTGCAAAATTCATGATTTACGTTTAAGTGTCATTGGTGTTTAATTATTTAAAGCGAGCCCCCAAGTCGTTTAAGCTGCGAACACCCCAGCAACATGACATTACCCGATGGGGATAAGAGATTGGCATGGCGCAGGGATGAGCGCCTTCACCGTGAGTCTAACGTGACGATAGTATCGCAAAGACCATCATAGAAAAATTTAAGGTGATAAGTGATTTACGTGCCGATAGTATCGCAGTAAAACTCTTAGGAATGCTGAAGCGAAGACAAAGTTGATCATCAAATCATTTGAATATTTCTTATCGCTGGGGCTAAGATAGTGGGCGGGGCTGGATATATATATGTAGTGAGCCTTACTAAATATATGCTACATATGAAGAATATGAACGTGCTTGCTGTTCATTATAAAAGTTCTCAATGTATAGCTTACAGTGAAGACTCTCTATTAGATATTTTGCTCTACTCTCATACTCAACAGCAAACTGGACTCACTCTCTGAGATCACGCTCTCCCCTCTAGCTGCTGGCAGAGAAATTAAGGACTGCAGTTAAGAATTGCCAATACATGTATGTATGAGTGGGTGTAAGTGTATCAGTGTGTGTGTGTGTGAGTGTGTGCGTGTGTGTATTTCAGTGTATGTTCACCTGGTCGCGCTTTCCATTTCATTTTTGGCCAATGCCAACAGGAATGTTTGCATGTTTCTGTTGGCACATAAATATGCGCGCAGGACACGCGAAGCCAGCCAGCGATGGTTGGCGCTGTGAAACCCTGCACAATTTGCAAATACCCTAGAGACCGGGCGTTACCCGCCTGCTTCTGCCTGCGCCGCTTGTCCGTTGCTATGCTCATGTGAAGCATGTGTGCATTCCACATCAGCTGTGGCTTGCGTTACGGGGCCCGTCGCCAAATCTCTGGGGTGTGCATGCCAGGCGCCCACTTGGGGCGGCAATAACAACAGCAACAGAAACGTTCAGCAGCAGCAACAGCAGCAGCAAAAGTGAAATTAAATAAATTTTATAACATAATTTACGCTATCAAAACATGCACCCAGTCGGGCCGTGCAGTTGTTGTCTTGTCTGCTTGGGATTTGCACTCGCCTCGCATCCTCATCCCAGCAGCAGGAGCAAGTGAAATTTTTCGTTAATATTGCGCACAGCCCGCAGCGCCGAAATGTAGGCTTCAATTAAATGTTAATTTTACAGAGCTTAAGCATGAAATTCGGTTTGCTCAAGCAGCCCACCGCTACATGCCGCCGCCCCCTGCTACATTTCTTGCTCGATTGTTGATGCCTCTGCCAGAGCTTTTCATTAAGGCAGCTCCCATAAATTTGTGTATTTTATAGCTGCATTTTAAGCTCTGTTATTTTTTTGATTATTTTTCATTTACAGTCTGAATACCTTTTTGGCCATCATAATATATTGATTGGACGCTTGATAAATGTAATAAGATTTAGTTATTTAGAAAGTATGCCAGATGCTCACTCACTCCATTCCTGTTTTTTATATTTATATATATAGATCAGAGAGTACTCTCTCAATTTGATGCAACCATTCAAAGCTGATTCGTTACACTTGACTTCAGCTATGCTGCAAATTTTTGTTGAATAAAATATGCAGTGAATAAAATGCATTTGCCACTTGTCTGTGCTTCGTCCGTTGTGTCTGCCTGTGTGTGTGTGCGTGTGTGTGAAGCACCCAAAACACATTCAAAACACGCTGCGAACTTGAATACGTTCAAGTGTTCATAAAAAGGCGCTTTCTTTCCCATACCAAACACAAACGCACCCACACACACACACACACAGTGAGAGAAGGCCATAAAATCCATACGAACAATATTTTGAAAAAGAAGAATCGGGGTTCAACATAACAAAAAGCAACCATTGTAATAATGTCCAAAAATATGTTGCCAACACGTGTAGTGTTCCAATTCCAACGAATATATGTATTTATATATTAAAAATAAACGTGTTTTAGTGGGCATTACGTGGCGAGAAAATACCCTGGGCTAGCAACATTTGTGGTAAAATTTATATATTTTAAAAAATAAAAAAAATATATATAATTTTGTAATATTTTAAGAGTATTATTCTGGCAGCTAACTGGAAAATCTTGTCAAATTAATTTAATTAATAGCTAATAAACATTATTATTATTATTATTTTTTTTTTTTTTGGTATATTAAATAATTTCATATACAATTCTTATGTTGAGATATTGCAGAAAAATTCTAGAGGTAATAGAGAATTATTGTAAGCTTTATAAATTGAACTTATAATTTTACGACAGAAGAAGATCAATTGATTCTCAAAGTGATAGACAAACGAGGGGTATAAAAAGAGTTATATATATTTCATATATTGTATTATATATTTGAATATATATAATATATGTATATATATAGTCCAGCACTGCTATATTCATTAACCCAACTGTATATACTTCTGTTGCTGCCTAGATTTGCCTCTCATAATCCTTCACAGCTAACCCTCTCTCCCATATGCAAAGGCTACAGGGTATACAAAAAGTCAAATGGAAATGGCAACGAAATATATTTATATGCACATATATAGGAAAAAATAACAACAAATATGCTGCCCTGTTGACTGTTGCGAAAAGGATTGGGCTATGGTGGGGCATGCCCGAACGGTTAGACATGCTTAATCGATGCAGCGAGCCAGCGAGAGGGCGCGTCGTTGGTAAAGGAGGTGGGAAGGAGGGCGTGGCAGCACTTGAATTTTTATATGTAACGATATTTTATTTACCGCCAAACGGGAGACAAAACTCAAGGGAGGGGACAGAGAGAGAGAGAGAGAGAGCGAGAGAGAGAGGGGAAGAGCAGCAGGCGACTGCAGACAATGTCAATGCGCAGCCCGCGTTCATCACATCACACAGAAGCGATTCTGTCTGACAATCGGGAGGGTAAACGTGTGTGTATGCGTGTGTGTGGGTGTGGGTGTATGGCATGCTTAAAACATAAAAAATATGCTGACAATAAAAATTTGTTGTCGACTGAGCGGCTCAGCAGCATGCAACATGCTGTTGCACAGCCGCCGGCAACAAAAGCAACAGCAGACACAGTCGAGCGGGCAGACAGACAGACAGACAGTTGGACAGAAAGGTAGACGGACAAGCTGCTGCCAATAGAGTTTACCTGTGACTGTGCGTGTGTGTGTGTGTGTGAGGGACTCATGAAGGAAAAAGTTGACTGCGGCGTAGTAAACTCTTTACTATATACCCTGTACTTAAGTGGAAATGACTAAGAAGTGGTTACAGTGCTGATATAGAAGTTTGTGTAAGAGAAGGCATGTGGGGAGAAGGTTTTTATACCATTTCGTGCAGTGTAAAGAAAATGCTTAATGAGAAGTTTTCTTCTAGATGTTTAATAGATGGTTAATAGAAAATGCGTGAATTGCAGTGCAACTGCAAGAGACTTTATATACCCTTTGATAAATTCCGAAAGACTAGAGGATATAAACGATATATATGACTTTAGAGAAAAGCTGGCATCTATTAGACAGCAAATTCACTGTGCAAAGCTATGTAATACAGGGTATACACGACAACTTACTCTTAAATATATAATACTGTAATAATAGTAATTGTGTACGTAACACTCAAAGCCGATTTACTATATACCCTTTCTATGTGTTAGTTTATATATTTAGGTATTATAATGTGTAATCCTAACGACCAGGTGGATACATGTGAAGTTCATTGACAAGAACATTTGAGGCATTAAAAAAGACATCAGGTTAACTATACTGTTATTACAAAATTGTCGAAACTAACTTAATTATAAATATCGATTTCCTTATTTTTGATTTATCGATAATTAAGAACTGAAATCAGAAAATGGTTATCTAAGAACTACTTTTATACCTACACAAAGACCCTGCTGCAAAGCTATATACAGGGCATATGCAAGTCGGATATAAACAACTTTTTGCCCTAATTTGCTCAACACCTGCTGAGGTGCCCGAAAACTTTATAAAAAGTGTACAATTCGGCTTAACCCCAGCCTACTTGCTGCTCAAAATTCTATTAGCTCATAGAGATGTATTCGTGCCGTTTACGAAGCCGCAGATATATCAAAGAATAACGGTAGTTTATGCACGATCAGGGCATCCTTTAATCCCTTTGGTTTTTACAGGGCATATAGCGCAATAAAAAGCTTTACAGTTCAATGCCTGCCTGACTTCAATGGAGCTGCAATAAAAAGCGCGGAATTTGCGATTGCAATAAAAACACGAGCAGAAGAAGAGACACAGAAAGGGATTGAGAAAGACAGAGAGAGAGAGAGAAGAAGAGTGAGAAAGAGGGAAAATAGAAACAACTGCGCCTAAAAACCACTCAAGCATACTCCGTTGTTTTTGGATGGATGG